CTCCACTGTTTCTTGTCAGGGTCGTCTCTGCCACGTCTGAGATGGCGGTGGCAAGTGGCCGTTGGCGGGCCGCTATCACGTGTTGGACCCCTAATCAGTCAGGTACGCCGCCTCCGTGTACGGGCTTCCTGGGCGTCAGGTACGGTTGCTTAGTCAGGCGACTGGGAGCTGAAGTGGTGTGCGAGGTGATCTTGAGTCCGGATAAAAGTGTGGCCCGAACTGCCCCTGGGTGGGCAGTTCGGGTTTTTTGCCTTTTGTGCTCCTCGAAAGGCTCAGGACCTCGAAGGGAGAGCTTGGGTTCCTCCTTGGGGAGCTCGGGACTCTTTAGCTCGGAGCTCGGGTTGTAGGTTCTTCCTTTGGGGGAACTCGGGACTCCTTTTCTCAGAGTTCGGGTTGTGGGCCCGTTGCCATGCCGAACTGGCGCTTCTGCCAGGTCACTCTCGATTGCTTCCACGTGTCGCATGGCCAAGGGGTCGGGTCAAATCTCCCTCCATCAGAACCACTTCGATAAAGATATGGAGTAATAATACCCGAGCAAGTTAGGGTATACACACATGCAAAAGGACAAGCACCAAACCCATTTTGTTGACCAAAATGTTCTCATCATATTGTCTTGTTGTATACGCATTGGCAAAAGACCATTTAGTAAGTGGCACTATTTAATTTTCATTCTCTACGTTGCTTTATCAACGTCTTTGTTTTATTAAAGTTGTTAGCTTAGGGCTAGGGGACGTCAATCCTAAGATATTGGGTTGGACCAGGATAGCTTGAGTTGGGTGATCATTACAGTCCAGTCAGCACAAGCTCGGCCTGGAAATTTTAGGTTTGGGCTTAACTTTTATGTTTAGGTTCGGCTTGAGTCTGGGCCCACATCAGGTCTACAAATTTTAGAGTTGGGTTTGGGCTTAATACTTCAAGTCTGGTCTGGATATATTTAAACTTATATATTTTGTATATAATGTATACATATTGTTTTACATTATATTATATATTTTATATATAAATATTATAACATGGCATGTATAATTTATATTATAATTAATATTTTATATTATATAATATATAAAATAAGTTTATATGCATGTTATGTCATTTAATATGTAGATATTTAATGTTTTATATATGATTGACATTGGCTCAAAATCAGGCTTGGCCCAGGCACGGGCCTAAGTTATAGCCCTTATCATAAGTTCAAAGCCTAGCTCGGCCCATGATCACCCCTAGTTTGTGTCCAATGGATAGTAGGGCAAGTCACATGAGAAAGCAAAATGGTCCCACAAATTAATGGTAATTTGGGAATTTAGAAATGATTAATAAACACATGAAAGTTACATTACATGAGAAATTATTTTCAAAGTTAACTGACAGAAACCTATGAAGGGTTTAAAGGGTTGAAATTGAAAGTTCGAAGGGGTCTTTGCATGTGTTTTATTCAATGGACATTTTGTGGTAAGCGTTTATTAAAACATCGTTATGTCATCGTCAAATCAGTATTTTTTTCATATTCATCTGTACGCATTGATATTCACAAAAGTGGGTTTTGATTTATGCGTACGTCAATCGATAAAAAAACTTATTTTAACGCTTCCCCCAATGATTAAGTATTTATTCACTGTTTTGCTGATTTGGTGTCCAATAACATCTAATTGTCAATAAACAGTATTAAATATTTTTCTTAGTTTTGAAGACAAACTAAGTACAAATGTTTATTTAATAAACGGAAGCTATACCAAATATATACTTTGTCACAAGTGAAAATTCAGGGAGTTGGTATCATTACCGCCAAAGTACAGGATTTTAATATGCAATTTACTAATTTTCCCATCCATGAGATTCACACCAAAACATTATTCACATCAGCGAGAATGCAACAAGAACTGTGGTTTGTTTTGAATATTTTGCTTTATAGTTTTCAAAAAGAGCCTTGTTATATTTCTTTTCATTCTCATTATCATTTATTTTCTTTTCTGAAACCAGAATCTTTCCTTATTGTCCTAATACATTCTCTATTTTGGAAACAATTCAAAGCAATTGAAAACAAAGGAATGCTCTTAATTAAAGACATTGACGAATTTACACCACGCAGTTGACTTCATGTTTGTCTCAGGGCAGTAATTTGTACAGATTTTAAATTTTGAAAAAAAAAGGAATGCTCTTAATTAATAACTAAAGATTATTTAAAAAAAAATGCAGACAGGCCTAATGCAGATTGTTGAATTTCACTGTAGACCTATAAACATTTAAAATGTTAAAAACCCTCGTTTTATACATCAATGCCCACTACCCCAATTTTATTTTGGGCCTAAAAATTCTGACCCTGAACTGAATTATCATTCTCCCAAAGGTGCAGTACTGATGAGTTTTCCACTTTTCCTCTCTATTTCTTTTCTTGTTGTCTCTACCAACCATTTGATCAAAGAAATCCTATGGAGGGAGAGAGACTGAAAAGTTGGAGTAAAGTAAGGGCATTATTCTGACCCTGGCACCTGTTTATTTCTCAAAAGTTCAAGAAAGATATTTCCTAAAATGAAACTATAAAGAAAAGTTTTAAAATTATCAAGAAGTTGAGAGGAGGTTTTTGTATTTTACCCGATTCCCAACTGATATTCACTGAGATAGTGACATTCATTATTAACCTCAAAACCTCAACTTTCAAGGTATAAAGTGAAAAGATGGAAATAAAAGTAAACATTAATAAGGCACTCACTTCTTGTTCTCCTCAATCGGAGATTAAATAAATTGTTTCTCCTTATGACTCATTACACAAGAAATATAGTTAATTATTTAAACGATAAGTAAAAAACCTTTTTAAGGCACGAGGTACGGTAACATTCTGGGGTGCTCAATTTGAGTATAAAATCAAATATGACCATAAATGGGGAGTGTACTTGGTCAAATATTATAAGAGAGGAGAAAAAAAAAAAGTAGTCACATGGGTGCTAGTAACATTGCACCATTTTATGAGAAACGGTTCTGTGTAATGTAGTGTTGTAAGTATTGTTTTGCTTATTTTTGTTTGGAATTAATACTATGACTGTGTTATATAAACTGTTTTTTTGATAAAATAGCATTAGTTTTGTTTAGTATTAGTATTGTCAGTAATGTTTTCAATATGATCTATATTATTTAACATCTAAGATGATGTTATATTAATTTCACATCATTGCATCGCTGGCAGCAATATATCATTTTTTTAGAAAATATTGAATTTGACATTATTCCATACCACACTTTCCTGATTTCCAATACATGATCTAGAGTAACGTTTTTTCTGAAAAAACAATACCAAACAAGATGATGTTATTTGAAGCAATACTTTCTCTGATTTGATGCCTATGTGGCATCATTTTCTCAGAAAACGACATCGATGTCAAACACCCACTCTATGTTTGAAAGAGAAGTAGGAGAACCGGTCTAGGGACTGGGGTTTGGAGCAGAATAGGGATCAAAGGGTACAACCCATCATCCCTCTCATTGATACATCTTATCGTCTGCTTGGCATCGATGTCGTTGCTCCAGAAAACGGTGACACATCAACGCCATGTCGAAAAAATGGTGCTCCAAGAAACGTCTGTTTGTTTGGAATCGTTTTTCCATAAAAAATAATGCTCCAAGCCACGCATTCGAAATCGATAAGATGTGGTTTGGAGCAATGCCAAATTTGTCATTTTCTTAGGTTACAGCTCATTACTGCCAAAAAGGATGTGATGTGGTAACTAGTGATGTAAACTTCCTATAATGGATATCAGTGTACTAGTGCTAAAAATAAACATGGAGCAATGGTACCAAACAGAAAATATTATCGTTACTCCAAGAAACGTCCTACCTAACAGCAATGCTTCCAAACAAAAAAAATATATATATTGTTTTATCAGAAAATAATGCTTTCAACCCACACATCAGCAACATCGATGCCAAATAAATACTTACTCTCTCGGGTATTCTATCTTCGATGCCTCCGAGTTCTAACTATTATAATTAATTTATGGTTTATTTTTTATATCACGGCAATAGAGACAACATGCTTTGCTTATTTGATATTATTTGTTGTTCAGTTCAGGTACTTCTGTCGGTTACTGACTTCCAGCCCTCTTCAAATCCGCTGCTTGCCACTAGGCCCCATTACCATCTAGGCATCCACCAATTCCCCCCTCCTCCCCTACTCCTAACTCTTAACCTTTTCAAATTTCAAAACCACAATACTTTTATTTTAATCCATTCTCCCCTAACTATTGAGGAGAATAACCCACCATTCACCAACCAAATTTTAGAAAAATGCAACCCCACATTTTGCCTCCAACGACCCAACCCAAACCCGGTTTAGCCGGTGGTCACTACAGCTCTGCAGCCCAATCACCTCACACACTCGTAACGAGTTGATTGGTTGCACTTAGACCTTGCTGGTTGGGTGGGCAGGTGTTATCTGTAACGGGTGCCCCGAGAACCTTACCTAACCTAACGTTAAAAAAGCAGGACCTACATGCTACACCTACAACAGCTTATCGTATCACTGCCGTATCGGTTGCCTAAAATCTCAGCAAACATCTCAGAGGGGCATTTCTGTAACTTTAAACAAATCCTTTCCAGAAGGATAGAATGCCGAATCAATAAAACCAGCAGCATATTCCCTAGGGGTGTCAATTGTACCGGATTTTGTCCAATCCGACCCAATTTAATTTGAATCTATTATAAATGGATTAGGTCCAATCAAATCTAATGATATTTTAGATTGATCCAATTTAATATTTGGATTATTTAACCCATTTAAATTTGTTTTAATTTAGATTAATTCTTACCAAAATCTGGTCTTAGTGCTAAGTGGTAACGCTAACGCGCTTCCTTTCCTTATCGCCCATGGCTAGTCATCTTCCTATCTATCCTTCTCCCAGACCAACAGAGACTTTTTGCCTCTGCTTAGAGAGAGATTTGAGACAAAGGCAAATTATATCTCCTCCAGTTCTCAGTTTTCACCCTGGAATTTTGAAATTTTCAGACAATACTACGAGAAAATAATAATAATAATTTAAAGGGACAAAAGTAACCTGCATTTCCTCTTTTAATGACGATAATACCATCACCCTTCCTCATACATGCATACTTGACTCGCGCCAGGCCTGCCCTGCCCACGTTCTGGCGGGCTATTTATGTAATTGTAACGAAAAAGCAGGTTTAAAGCACCATGGGTTTGCGCACGGAATATCGGTAAGCCGCAACCTTCTTTCTCCGAGATTTAGTGTTATCGATGGATAGAACCATCTTTCCCGGCTCCTTCGACGTGAAGGAGGCGTGGACCGGTTGTTCTGAAGCTGCAACTCGTCTCGGTTTTTCGATCACCACCGTGTAGCTTCCCTCTGTGCTAGGCACAAACTCTGCGCTGTATTCCAACTCCCAACAACCAACCACTATGTCCCAAGTTATGGTTGCACCACCCTAGTAGTTATGCCATTGGTGAATTTAGTTTAGATTTCAGATGGGTCTGACGAGGATGGATTAAAGTTGAAATTTCATAATACATTTACCTCAATTCCCTCTATCTCTAAGTTCACTCTCTCTCCTCCTTTGACGGTGAACTCCGATGCCGGCTTTGGCGGACCGCTCTCCATATCCACGGCTCGACTCAGCCCACCGTACTGAACTGGAACGTTCTCTGGCCTTATGTACCTAACCAGACAGAGATCGGATTGGGGAAGTAAGAGTCCAGAACCATGACTCAGGAAGGAAATATCTTCGAATTTAATTATCTAATCAATGCAAGCACAGCAATAATAAAACAAAGAATTGAAGATGGAAATCCCGCCTGAGAACTTAAAATTGTAGTTAATATAAATTAAGATTGAAAGAGACAAGAGTAGAGTAGCTCCGAATCTTTAATTGGGACATAGAAGGCCACAAGCAACCGAAGTTGTTGAACTACATGCTCCCAATAACAAAAACCCACTTAGATTCTTCATCAAATTATCTAACGCAGTTCACATACCACGTAACCATTTGGGAAAAACCATCAAAATGAGTTCGAGAACATACTTGTAAAGGGTCTCTGCAACATTTCCTTCTCTAGCGATCACGAACTTGCTTTTGGTCCGTTGGGTGAGGAATGGACTAAACATTGCATACAACATACTGAAGTACCATGGAACGTTGATGAATATCTGATACATCAAAACTCATATTTCAGAAAAAAAAATGCTTAATTAATTACCATATTGGTCTGAAAATGCAAATAGATTACCTTCCGAGCCACCATTTCAGGATAATTATCCTGAAACAGAGAGAGGATCTGATTGAAGGCGACCCTGAGCTCTCTCTTGGGCATGTCTTTCAGGTCAGTCACCTGTATAATCGAATTTATCCCCCCAGGCTTGAAATGGAGAAGGTTTATACCCCTCTCGAGCACTTGAACTCTCCACCTAAGAAATTTCTCCATCTTCTCTTCGTCCCCAAAAACCTTGTCGTACATGTCCTTATCTTTGAAGACCCCGTAAGAATTATAACAAACGGGATGGCCTTCTCTGTCATAAGCATGCATATAAGCCACCACGCCTTCAAGCTCCTTAAACCCCAAATCCTCATCACAAATGTTCTCTGCACCGAACTCTTTTCTCCAGGCTAAGCATTTCTCCAACATGGTGAGGGCGTCAGAGACCCTGAAATCCCTGGCTCGGAGAAACTTTAACAGAATTACATCAGCCTTCTCGTCTCCACCCAAAAGGGGAATATTCCACATAGATTCAGACCCTTGAGAGGCCGACATCTTCTCTTTGAGTTCCTGCAGAGCCTTCTTCTCTGAAGCTTTGAGGTGAGAGATAAAGTAGGTGTCTTCTTTGAAGGAAGGAGAGCGAAGTGAAGTGGCCTCCATTAACGAACTAACAAAGCCTTTTTTTAATGGTTTCGGAGAGACTTTCGGATTGTCTTGTGGGGTTTGTGGGACTGAGAGAGGCGATGAAGCTTCCATTTACAATTCTGTGAGAAACCGGATAGGAAATCCGTAGGGGTAGAAGTGCAGAAGAGCAATACAACAAGAATACGTTAACCTTTTCTCTTTTATTTCTCTGTAGCCGAGAAGCTCTAGCTTCGATTCTCGGAGGTCTGAACTACATAGGTTTCTTGGGGTGCAGTAAAAGAGAAAAGGAAGGGGACAGACAAAACAGGGGTCGGAGAGTGGGAGTGGAGTGGAGGGGAGAAAAAAGAGAGAAGAGATTGTGTGTCTGCGGGTGAGTTGTGAGTTAAAAAAGAGAAAGAGAAGAGTTGGTATTCCCCAAAAACTTATTGGGGTCACGGTTATAAAATATGTGGAGCCGCGTTTGAGAGAATTCAAAACTTCAAATAGGATTCTTGCCTTTAAAAAAAAAAAAAAAAAAAAAACTTCAAATAGGAAACGGCAGGTCCGTGATAGAGAGCTCCTAGGGCACATTACGCACCCCTTCCCTTTTATGCCACCTGTGCAATACTGTAGCCCTGATTTAATGAGTCCTTCAGTTAAAGCCCATGTGCGCATCCTGATAAGATAGATAGCACTACGCAGTAGCAACCGAACTACCGATTCGAACAGGCCGGTCGGTCAAGAATGTTAAGTGGCATATACCCGCCTACCTACATAAGTTTATATTTTCAAGGAAATAAAGAAGAAAAATCATAGTGCAATTGGGTCGGGTTGAGATCAACCCAAGCCCAGTTTTTAAAATATGTATCCTTAACTAATCTAATTTTCATAGTCAGGTTGGATCATGTGAGTTCAATAAATGTGTGGGATTGTGGGATTTTGGCACTAGGAGAGTGTAATCAAGGATAAAAAAAAAAGGATTATACAATAGATAAGCGAATTTTAAGGCCTTAATAAAAGTAATATTTAAAAAAAAATCAAAAATATGTTTTTTTAAATAATATCAATTAAGGGAAAAAGCATTGTTCATCTTTTTCCTCTTGCAATCCATTCATTAGCATTGTCGTCCACCGCCATTTCTAGCAATGCCTCCACCTATTTCCGCCCACCTCCACCTCTGCCTCCAGCAACATTGTTAGAGGTGGGTGGAGGCGACGGCACTGGTGGTCATTCCTCTGCCCAACGCTACCACCTCCACCAACTAATGTTGTCGCCGCCTCTGCCTCCACCCACCTCTGACAACGTTGTCGAAGGTGGGCAGAGGTGGTGGCATTGGATAAAGGAATGACCACTAGCGCCGCCGTTGCCTCCGCCCACTTCTGGCAACATTGCCAGAGGCGAAAGCGGAGGTGAGCGGAGATAGGCAGAGGTGTTGCCGGAGGCGGCGATGAACGGTGGCGTTGATGAATGGATTGCAAGAGGAAGAAGATGAATAGTGTTTTTGCCCTTAATTGATATTATTTTAAAAAAGTTAACCTATTTTTGTTTTTTTTTTTAAATATTACTTTTATTGATATTAGAGCCCAAAAGTTGCCCTTATATGCTATAATCCCAATTTAAAATCTCTTACTAACTGCAACAGTTACTCTCCACAATTTTAACCTTTTACAAACCCTAGGTTTAGGGTTCCATTCATTCAGTCTTATCGACTCGGCTACGTATTGGCTTTTCTAACTTTGTTGGGTTGTTCTTTGGATTCATATTAAACTCAATTTGGAAGGAATAGAGTGTAAAATCTTATATTTTGTATTGTTTTATATATATTAATCAGACTTGTTCATGGGTTGGATTCGGGCTTAACTTTTGTCAAAATTCTAATGGGCCTGACCTAAAGCCCGAACTCGAGACAATGTAAAGTTGGGCCCGTGAACAGGTCTAATATTAATGGCTCAGTTTGAAGAAAGTAAAAATACAAACATATACAATACAAATGCATAAAAATAATATAAAATATAAAGTTTTACACTCTACATATTTACATTTGTACTCCTTCCAAATTAAGCCAATATATTTGTATTTGTACTCGTCCAATTAAGCGCCTGGACAGCAACGAGAGCAATTGCTGAAAGCCAATGCCCACAGCCCACCCAATAGTCAATATTTGTCCATAAAAAATAAAGTTAAAAAAAGAGCAAAGTCGTTTGCATTTGCTACGTACTTTGCGGGGTTTAAATTCAATTCCATTACCCTGGGTTCCCTTTGTTCAAGGGTTTTGACCTTTACATCATCTTGATGAATCAGATTCTTCTACAGTGAATTCATTGTTTGCCAATGAAGTTCGAGATTGGGACTGCACCAAAGTTATGGAGCTTTTTGACCCTTTAAGCATTGATCACATTTGCAAGCTTCTTCTATTACAGTTTGAGACCACTGAACCAGATTTCCTTGTATGGTTATTTACTCCAAAGGGTAATTTCACCACGAAGTCTGTTTACATAGAATTGATTAAGCAAAGAAGATCAAGCTCATTTACCAATGCACATTCTGTTCTATGGAAGAAGCTTTGGTCTTGCAAATTTTAGCCACCTGGAGTAATTACTTTTATATCTCAAAAATAACTAATCAATAAACTAGAATCATAAACGTGATAGCAAATTATAAATTATAAGGTGTTATTTTATCATAGAATTTCCCCCTTTTTTTAATATTTTTTTTCTGTACCACAATTTTTTTTTGTCACGTACTGCATTGGTAGCGATGCATTGTGGGTGCATTGGGCGCTTCCTTTAATTAATCTAATGTGTATACTGAATAAAATGTTCTAGTATTGCTCGAACTGATATTGCGTTACCACCATCGACTTACAAAGTCTCTAAACAACCTCCAACTGTAGCAAGACTATGATATCTATAAAAATAATCCTAGCAAGTGCACTAGTTATCAAGTAGTATAAAAAATATCGTTCCCACGGGGATTTAACAAAATAAGTATTAGAACCACAATTTTCCCTAATTATCTGGACAAACGAAATTCAGATTTGAGCAAAAACTACTGAAATTAAAGTAGAAAAAAAAAATAGAAGCAAAGGTGATCACTGATCGAATCTGCAAAGGATGGAATCGCTAGGGCTTTTGGTCCACCTAAGCAATGCAATGAATAGTTGTGGGTTTGATTTACCAATATTAGTTGTCATTCTCATAAGCTGAGGTCTTTCCAAATTTTATTTAATATTCTCTCTCGAGATATACTAAACCTACACCCATCAGGTAGTCCTTCGATCTCTCGAGTAAAACTCTAAAGATGAGAAGGAGTCGAAACCGAGGCTGATAAGGTGGATACTCTTGCTCCAAGAGTTCGATCTAGAAATCAAGGATCGAAGGGGAGCTGAAAATTCGGTGGCTGATCACCTAAGTAGGTTGGTGAAAGACGAGGGCTCCTCTCCCATCTGTTAGTTGTTTCCTGATGAGCAGTTGTTCCTCATGAGAAGTATGACTCCATGGTATGCTGACATTGTGAATTACTTGGTCACGGGAATTTTTCCTAATGACCTTAACAGACCCATAAAGAATAAAATCAGGTATGAGGCGAAATATTATGTATGGGACGAACCCTACCTATGGAAATTTTGTTCTGACCAAATGATTAGGAGATGTGTCC